GGGGGGGGGGGGGGGGGGAGTCGCTCGGCTTCGTTTTTCAGCCGTTAATTGGGCACACCTGAGTCTGTCTGGGCAGATGAGCCCCCCCGCTGCCCACGTGCGCCTGCCCGCCCGCAGAGAGCCCATGGCTTTATGGTGATGGCTGCCCTTTGCACCCTGCGATTATGCACACACTTGGAGCAGTACTGTGGTGCAGATCGCAAATCGGGTGGGTGGGGGGGGGATCACACTCAAGTTGGAGTGGCCAATCTTGCAGCGTGGAGTATTCTAGAAGCTTCTCCTTTAAGGACTAACAGGCGTCTCCTATACGCGTCAATACTGCCCTCCATAAGCTTAAGGTAGTAATGTGTCAGTTTGCTAAATGTAAGGGCCTGCATTGCCATTGCCATTCATGATAGCCTTGTACCCATTTCCTTCCTCTGAATATGCCTGACTGCTTGTGACGCTCAGATAAAGTTTGAAATAAATTAAAGGGGCTCGTTGGGGGGGGGGCACACCATCTGTCTCGGGAGGGAGAGTCGGGCATCCTTGATTATCTCTATTGATTTGTTCCATCTGACCCTTAATCCTAGCATGTTGTGTGTACATTAGTGTTGTGTGTGTGTGTCTGTGTGTGTGTCTGTGTGTGTCTGTGTGTGTGTGTGTCCAGTCCCCCATATTTGCTCTTCGTTCACTTCTGTGCAGAAAATTTTTCCTATTTCCTATTCCTATCTATTCTGGTCAAAATGGCAACTATTTCTTTCTGCTCATTTTTTTATTAGGCATTAATATGTTAACATGGCTTTGTATTAATTACAGACACTCGCCAGGTTACGATGGTCCGTATTCGACATTTCAATTCATAAATGTTTTTCACTCTCAGTACATAATTCAATTAATTACATGAGACACTTTTTAAAAAAAATAAAATAATAATAATAATTTGTTAATGATTTTGCCTGACTGTAGGCTAATGTAAGTGTTCTAAGCATGTGTAAGGTGGGCTATGATGTTTGTTAGCTGTGCTGTATTAAAATGCATTATCGCCTTACAACAGGTTTGTCGGAATGTAACCTCATCGTAACTGGGGGAGAGGCTGTGTATTGTCTATAAAAAGCTGTAATATATAATTTGTATAGTACATAAGAGCATGAAAACTCCCTTTATTAAGCCATTAAAGGTACTTAAGCTGAAAAGTTGGATGAGTAGCTGAAATGAAGCCAATATAAATGTTACTTTTCAGTCTTGGCTTCACGTTCTTTTTGCTAATGGAAAGTGACCTGCAGCCCCCGGAGGCTTGTCAGCTTGTACAGGTGTAGGCGTCCAGTGCAGTGCAGTGCAGTGCAGTGCAGTGCAGTGCAGCCGCTCTCCCCGCTGCTCCCCAGAAATGCATGCTGCCCCCTCCGGCCGCCCTGCTTGGCAGCCGGTGCTGCACCCCTCACTCCTAATGTTATCTGTTTTTTTTTCTCTTAGTTGTAAGATGATATCAGACTTAGAAAGTGAGAGAATTAGCATCCACGCTCTGGCCTCTTCTGCTACCCTGGGTGCCTCTAGTCAGCCGCAGGGAAGTTTGCTTTGTTCTGCTTGAAGCTAAGGCTGAAAATCAAGCACCAGTTTGTGGCCCTTGTGTTGCATTGGAGACATTAATATTTTGGGTGGGGGGGGCGCTGAGGAGCGTTGTGGGTTTGGAGGGGTTTAAGACGGATGTTTAGTGATGTCAATCATGTCTCTCTCTCTTTTTTTTTTTTTTTTTTTTTTTCTTTTTTCCTCAGTACCCTGCGGAAGCCCCAGAATGCTCTGCAGACCTACCCGTTCCACTGGTCGTGGGCTGGACACCACAGGTGACTGCGCAAATGACTGCGCTGTTCTATATTTTGGCGTGATGAAGCGTTCTGTCATATATTATGGGTTCTTAATCATTTTTAAAGTATGCTTTTAAGAAAAGGCTATTTTCTTTGCTCGGAGGTCAAAGGTTAAGTGTGATTACTGTACTGCTGAGGTACCTGGTGCTGATTATGAAGCAGTAAATCTCTCTCAGTCCAGTGCGCAGTGGGAGATGATGACATTTGGAAGCCCTGAAAATGCAAAGATATATGCACCATTGTTCCTCAGAACACTGATTAATCGAAGAAATGGATTAGCAGCATGATTATTTTCTGTGCACAATGTTCAAAAGCTGATCTTGCTACTTTTTGTAGGGTGTGTGTGTGTCTCTGTTTGTGTATGCATGGGTCCTGCTCCTCTGTGCTCCCCTACATGTGTGCACGGTGCTCCTGCTCCTCTACGGGCATGCAGCACTTGTACAGGGCCAGTGCTGCCGTCTGGTAGCTGTCGTCCTGCTGGGCTGTTGCCACCTCGATGCTTTCCTCCTGCGCCGCGTCGTCTTGATATCCTGACACATTCATCTGAATGAGTAATTATCGCCCGGGTCGCAACTGGGCCAAGATGTGCCATAAGGAGTGCATGTCTCCACGGTGATTTATGTGTACATGCGAGTAAGTGTGCATTGATAGCTGTGCGAGTGGACGGATGGATGGACGGATGAATGGCACAGTCCCCAGAAGCACAGGTGCCTCAAAGTGGGGTGGGGGGGGGGGGGGTGTGACACACGTTTACTGGATTCCGCCTCCATTCCCCCGTCATGTAGGCAGGGTTAAGATGACAGGCCTGAGCAAAACTTGCACTCCGTGTCCGAAATAAAGAGAGATTTGTATCCTTTGTCCAATGCAAAATGTAACCCAGCAACGGTAAGTAACAATGTATTCAGTCAGAATGACATAGGGATGTGCATCTCCATAAATGAAGATGCATATGAAACAACTGTTAATGCGATATATGATATGATTCCCCCCTATTGCGACGCAGTGCCATTCGATGGTGTTCTATGCAATGCACAAGAATATGATGCTGTAATTCAATATGGTACAGGTACTGAGATTTGGTACAGGTACTGAGATTTGGTACAGGTACTGAAATAGTTTAGATTTTAGAGAGAGAATCAATCTAAGTATCAAATTACTGGTCAAAAATGTTTGGCCGCATTTCTAATTAATAAAGGGCCTGTACTAGTAATTATTTATTAATTGTATTTTACAGACGCAGAGATATTAAAAACGATTCATCCCAAATTGCATCCAGTGCATACTTTTTTTGAATCAGAATAATCACGTTGTGAACTATTTTGCCAGTGCACTGATGCGAATCGATGAATCTTACAATCCCTAACGACATAACAGGCGAATAATGTTCATTTGACAGTAAGAGTATAGATGTGACATTTAATGAATATTTAGGGCAGTGGGTGGTATCGCAGCTAAAGACTGGACTGCGATTCACATCCTAATAAGTGACTTTCTTCTGAGGGAGGGTCCTCGCGTCCTCAGATTCATACAGCCGCATTAATGGATGCAGGCACCGAGATGTTTTGCCTCCTGAATTGTTCTGCTCATTGGAGTGATTCTTGTTGATTACTGTAGACAAGCTTGCAGCCCCTTGAAACTCCGGTTCCCTCCAGTAATGAAGCTTGAGGATGCACTACAAAGATGCCCATCAGGAACTGTCACTTCAGGCCACCGATCCACTGGCTCCTTCCGGCAAGATTTCAATTACGGGGGTTTTATGTTTAAAAGAAGACTAAACGTAACCATGGGACCAGCATTAATTGGAACGTAATTGCACAGTCCTTGCACCTGTTTGATGCTAAATTGTGTGCACTGTGCTGTTGCATTGACCTGCAACTTTTGGTTCATTTACTTTGCCAGGATTTTTAAAATATATTCCGCCCCCCCCCTCCCCCCCTTATTTGGACACCTTTCTGATTATAGAATCTCTTTCACCTCAATGTGTGAAACACTTGCTGAGGATGGAGTGATTCAATCCGCATTCCTGGTTGCTACCCATCCTCATAGAGAGTTAGTGTGCGCTGTCCCACTGTGTCCATCCCCTTGTGTCTACACACTTTGTAAGACAGGAATGAGTGTACCTCTGTAGCCTATCCCTACGCGTGTACATCCACATTTTACAGCTGTAGCCTATCCCTACGCGTGTATATCCACATTTTACAGCTGTAGCCTATCCCTACGCGTGTATATCCACATTTTACAGCTGTAGCCTATCCCTACACGTGTACTCAAAGCAACAAGCAGAAAATTCACTTCCAGTAGCGTTCGTGGTTTTGCTCAGAGTTCATTTAACAACATTGCCAAACCAATCCGGTGTGACATGGGCGAGGGTGCCCCCTCAGTTTCACAGAAGTGCAGTGAAAAGGGATTTTTTATTTTATGTGCTTATGCATTAAGACCCAGTTTTTTTTAATAATAAAAAACTGGGAGAAGAAAGCATTTGTGCTCTTAAGTCAAGAAATTACCGGTACATTTGACCCTTTATACACTAATGTGTATTTGTGTGCCAGTTACGTCAATCCATCACTATCTAGCACGCTTCTCGCATATCTTGCCATACGATATTTTCAAAAACGACATTATTCATTTGTTGAATGAAGATACCGCAGTATACCCTAAACTAATGCGGTATATTATATTACCCGATCATGGCCATTTTTGCTCGACTCGGACGACACTGGATTTTTCTTCGCGCTGATGTGGCTGCACTTTACCTTACCGCTGTAGTATATCCTTAAGTATGCACTTCATACTAAATACTCGATCTTCACCCCTCTCTGTCTTTCACACTAGCTATACCTCGACCTAAAGATACTTGCGTGTCAATTTTTTGTCTTGGAAATTCATGGGGCTCATCGCCCGTTTATATGTAAAATGTGGCATGGCTTTGTTTTGTCTAAACAAACAAATATCAAACAGAAATAACACGGGAGCACTGAAAATGTAACAAGAAAACTATTTGTAAAAGTAATTGCACTGCTCTACATTTTAAGGCCAGATGACACATTCCCATGTTTGTCATTTGTAATTAGTGCCTTCAGGATAAGGGGTAATATCTCAAATTATAAATACAAATAGACTTTCGGTCCAGATTCTTGCCTGCAATGATTTTAAAGTATGTGAGTTCAAATGGGGATTCTCTGACAGCTGAATGGCAGCCAATCATTTAAGCCAATTAGTTCAAAAAGTTATCAAAGGATCAAGAACATATTAAGTGTAATTAGAATATATAAGCCAATATCCTGGGAATCTAGAACAATATTCTATGGTTTAAGAAAAAAAAACCCATAAATGCTTGAAATTGCAGCCATCATGATGGTAGTTGCTCTCATCAGAAGTCTTGCTAAATTGGCTGTATTATCAGGCTGGAGGCTCTACAAAGGGGGGAAATTGCAGGCGACTGGAAAGATTAACATTTACACCTTTGCTCGATTTCACAATAGGGACCCAGCCACTACTTTAAGGATGAAAGGCATAGTTTAAAAATTTATGTTCACATGGAACCTGATAGGTGATTTAATCGTGCTATTATGATTTAAATGACATTAAGCATTTTAAGAGTTCATTTAATCTCCCCCTGCAAGACTTCTCTCTAGATGTAGCTGGTGTGAGTGCGCTGTTTGTGCACGCACCGGTGATTTAAATAATGAACCTAACAAACGACTTCCCGTTGTTTCATGCTCTCTCCGCTGTGGCCGTCCCCGCGTGCGCTGTGTTTGACTAACCGTAAACTGGAACGGTTTACCCAGCGATGGCCTCCGCGGTCCAGCTTGTTTACACTGTTTGTTTGGGGGAATTTAGCGCCGTGATATCATTTGCAAACGCGCTACGTGTAGAAGCCGAGCCCACCGAATTACAGGCGCCGCTGGAGAATAATAAACATCAGCGGAGTGGCTGTATCTCGCATTCGGTCGATTCCGCGATTCTCCAAGGAGAGCCGAGGGCACGCTCGGCAACACGCGTCGCTTCGCGGTAAAAATTAAATTTGGGATTTTTCTTCGGGGGGCGGGGCGTGACGTGATGTATGGTAGATGCTGATTGGCTCTCTAATAAAACCAGTCTCATGGGGAGCTGTCCGCTTCCTCCAGCCCGTCACTGCTGCAAGACAAAAGCGTGGTTTTGTATAATTGGGGGATTTGTTTCAAAATCCATTGGACACGGTCTTTAACCATCTGGCCTCTTTGAGGGCTTAAAGTTGGCCGTGTCTAGAGTTAACTTTTAGTTTTGGTACAAACAGCACATGTTCGGTATAATTTTTGTGCGCACCTTCCGTTTCCATGACTCCCTGGCAGGGGATATTATCGTGTTTATATCAACCATGTCTAATGTGGAGCATGGTAACGTGTCACGTGTGAAAGGCTGGTCAGAATGTATCTCTTTTTTTATAACCTTCATGGCAAGCAACTTTGGCCTGCAGCTTGCAAGATGTGTGAACAGGTCAGAAAGTCGGTTATTCTCAGACATCCTGAAAAAAGCAAATATCGTAGGACTATAGGGCCAGATCAGGGGTGCACCTAAAAATGTTGGGCCCCTTGACTGCATCTCATATCAAGCCCCCAACCCAGACCCATGCAATTATGTTGCAAAATTTTTTAGGGACCCTGCCATGACCTCACTTATGCAACTAAGACAACTGTTCAATAAGCTGTCAAGCAGATTCTGAATGCCTAGAATTAAGAATAGATGTTGTAGATTTAAAATCAAATTATTAGCCCATGCAAACAATGATGTTTTGCTAGCCAAATGTTACTCAGCTATACGGTGAGATTTTGTGCACTGTGACTGTAAGATGGCTGCTGCACCCATTCTCATCTAATGCTTTCCTCATTGGTCTTATTGAGAGGCTCGTTGAGGATTACAACGGGCTCGTACAATGGAAAGCGCCCGCTTAAGATGATCTGAGGACAGGAGATGAAGGACCCCCGCCGCCGTAAATCAGTATCCGTTTGTGTTTGCACAAGGCTTTCAAAAGCCTGAAATATGGCTGTAACTAAGTGGACCGTTTAACCATAGAGCAGAGAACATGGCTTCCCAAAGGTAAGCAGAGCCCTTGGCTCTGTATGGCAGCGAGCCTCGCCGTGTGCTGAGCGGAGGGGGCAATGAGTTGAGCAATTCTCCAGAGTCTGTTAGCAGTGGACTCGACTATTATGCAATGCTTCAAATTAATTTAAACTAGTCATGAGTTTGTGTGAGGCGCATAGCTAAAGTCTTAGGCCATTAGTCCAGGCAAGTAAACAATGGAGTGCTACTTCTCTGGCATAGGAAAGGACTAATAGAGGGCTATCCAGGGAATTAGCCTTGGGTAGGAAGACCAGTGTCACTGGGATGAGGTGTAGGGGGCTATATGCTTAAATAACATTGCCAGCCACCAGCACTTAATTGGTTACTAGCCTACTGGATTGCATAACTTAAGCCTAAATGGAGCAAGAAATTCAAACATCCTTTCAGCACAGAATGCATTTATATGTCTTGTGAAAAAATGTATAGAAATATGTGCGGGGGTGCAGCTCAGAATGCAGAAGGTTGCATCGGTTTTCTTTTCGCCTCTGAGGGCATTTGTTGCCTTTGGACAGGGTATGAAGGGCTCGCAGTCCGCATGAAACGATTATATTGGCTTATGGTTCATTTGCCATTTGGAAAAAGTCTCGGGTTGCATGAAGGAACATTCCCCTCTATAATGTAATGGTCAAATCATTTTCCCACTCCACCGCTTTCCTGGGTACTTCAGCTGTGGACACTCATGTTGCAATAATATTAATAGGCTTTGGCAGGTAAATCACATATAATCGCTCAGTGGTGGTCATTAACCAGTTGTCCTCCCTTGGTCCTTTTGCAGAGCACCCTGGCCAATGTTTACAGCCAATTTGTGGCCTTGCTGGAATCCCTGGAGGAATTCTGGGCCATGATGGATGAAATCGATGAGAAGACCTGGATCCTGGAACCAGAGAAGCCGACCCGGGGAGATACAATGAGGCGTATTGTCATCGGTAGCTGAAGGCCCCTCTCTTTAGACCAGGGTCCCCCAGTTCCAGTCCCGGAGGGCCAGTCAGCATCCACAGTTTGCAGATTTCCCTGCTCAGACACTCCACATTACTATACCTGGTAATTAGCTGATTAGAATATATTGAGGGGAATCTGCAGGCTGTGGTTGCAGACTGGCTCTCCAGGACCGGACCTGGATCCCCACTGTAGACCGTTATCATGAGCACACATGGCTGGGTTGGGCAAACATCAGCAGTCACCTGGCTTTTCGTGGTAAAGTTCTAACAATTTTTTTGGGTTAGGAGGAGAAGCCAAGGTACAAACGGGCAACGGGAGGCGTGTTTTAGAGAAGAAGTCATTAGGATGTTATATTCTTTACCACCAGCTTAGTCTCCTTTTTTTTTAGGGAACAATGTGTCCATAAAGTTGGAGGTAGACCCCCGGTATCCCAGCATGCTGCCAGAATGCTGTCTTCTGGGGGCTGAGCACGGTGAGCAGGCCGACCATTCCGATAATGGGCTCATTTTGTTATTTCTGTTCTTAACAGTCACTTATATACAAACCTGTTTAAATTACAGCTGCATGCTTCCACCAATTCACAATATTTTTTTATTTTTTCGTCTTTAAACATCACAGATGTATGAGTAGTTACCTGATTAAGATTTCAGCCCGAACCGCCCCATCATTTTCAGAACGTCGGTATAATTTCAACACTCTTCAGCTGAAGCTGAACTGGGATGTACTGTACAGCTTCCGTGCGTCTCGGGCTCCGAAAGCTGTCAGGAAAAGACACGCCTCCGCATTTCATTTACGCTCATTTATGTGGCAGATGCTTTAGTCTAAAGCAGTGTACAAGTCAGGGAGATGCTATATAACAAGGACAGAGCTGACAGGAGTCGACTTGGGTGCAAGTGGTGCTGTGCTGAGTGACCAGAGACAAGTGCAAGGCGGAATTCTTATTACCGAAGTATTCACACCACTCAGCCCAGTTATTCCTTTGTTTTAGGTTAACTGGGGGGCAACATCAGCTTGATTACCCTGCATATGAAACGCAAGAAGAGAATCTTGGAATGATGTTTTTATGTGTGTGTGTGTGTGTGTGTGTGTGTACAGGTGCTTCAAGTTAAAGATGCCAAAATATCAGTACAAAACGTCAAAAGTCGACTATGTTATAAACAAGTAACTAAACTACAATCTCTTGAATAAATAAATAATTGCTATAACTACATATGATACATTGTTAAACAATATTAGATGTTTACACCGGCGATCGCTACAGAGACTGGACACGTGGCTCGGGGCGATATATGGCATATCGGTGGATCGGGAACAGATCAAAATTCAAAGCTGGATGACTACTGAATGTGCATCGCTACTACACCATCATAAAATCGAAATACCGTAAAGCAGGGGGCATCTATCTATATGTCTGTCTGCCAGACATGTAGGGACTTCACTTCTGAGAAAACAATTTTTTCCATGCAAAGTTCTGTTATAGTGCATGTACATGTTACATAGGCAGTAATAAAAATAATAATAAAAAAAAACCTGTTAAGATTCATGCAGGGCTTCCCAAGCAAAAAGGGTAAGTGCTCAGTATTTAAGCTTCGCTGTTTGTTTCTCAGAATTCAAGGTCACGCTTGGCTAATAGTGCTACCCAGAATGTATTGCCGGTTGCCTGGCAATGTTATTCATCGATATTAAATACACACTTCAATATAGCCAGACTGGGGCGGAGGCTGGACCTCGAAAAGTGGGGTCACTAAGAGATAGCGCTTTTCGCATTTGCAAGCGGTAAACGAGGGAATGCAGCCATCGCACATCACCAAGATGTCTGCCGACGGGGCCTTCCTTATATGAAGATTAGAGGGGTTGATTTATTCCCAGCCCCCATCCCATCCCTATTGCGGTGGGGGGGGGGGGGATGGGTGGGGCACGCACATGAAGTTATTTATTACCCACGTGGGGTTGCTCTTTGGGCTGGGAGGTGCCAGCAGGACGCCATGGAGTACAGGGCACCCTCGCGGCTCCACATTCAGCCCCATGTGTTTGACTGGATGGCGTCTGATCGCGCGCCTGGCGCGGCCGCACCCCCATGGCCGTCCGCGCCGCAGCAAAGGCAATTAGCGGAGCACATGGGGTTTAGCGGTATCATTGTCGTCTGGCGTGGGCCTGTGGCAGGAGCCTCGGAGAGCCAGAGAAACAGCTGCTCGCACCGAGTATGTGAGCTGTTCAGCTGTAGGCCACAGCACTGCCGGCATTTTTATTTCATTTTTCCCCCTCGTGACACACTTTATCCCCTTCCAAACCTACTCCCAGGCCATACTTAGCTCAGTGATTATGGGTCCACTCCATCTTAAATAACTGGATGACTAATATTCATCTGCCTGCACCCTGCATGTAGCTGGTTCCTACCATCTGCGAGACATACACTCCTGGCCCCGTTCTGCAGCCCCGGAATAATCCCGCCTTCCTTTGGTGGCTCACCCTTGTGTGCCGTCAATGAATGGATGGATGGACTTATTTCTGCGTGATTAACATTCGTCTCCCAGCGTCCTCTGTTCCGCTGCCGTGTGCCACCTGTGCGGGAAGCGCTCGCAGCCCTGGTGTCCATCCTGCCGCGAGATGGGTGCCAGCCTGCCCTTTTGTGTGTTTGTGTTTGTGTACAGTCCCCTCCCAAGCTCCATTCAGCAGTCCAGCTTGATTGGTTGGTCTAACACAGCACCGTGTGCTTGGACCCTCGTCGCTACAGTTTTATCAATAACAGCATCGTCATGTTCTTGAATTACTAGATGTTTTTATCCCAGGGACTCTTAAGTGTGCTGTATAGTTTTCCGTGCAAAGCGAATTATAGCAGTATATTTCCTAAAGCAAGGAGTTTCCCATCTGAAGATTGAACAGCAGGGGGGCGCCCTACCTCAGTCCCCGGGCTACTTGCCTCTTGGTTGCTTAGCTCCTCTGTTCTTGTGAGCGGGTGGCTGTCGAGATTGAGGAAGCTTCCGTTGGTCCTGATTTGTTGTCTGTCTTCTTGCCTCCCAGTGGTGACCCCCTTGAGGAGTAGACTGAACGCCAACATGCATTTGTGGTAAGGATACGATAATTGCTTCCCTCTTTTTTATTCTCTTTCCCAACTGACCGTTTTATCTAGATGGGATGCCAGAAATGGTTTCAGGGACTTTTCTGGAAACCTCCGGTGTCATTAATGAATCGTCATGCGCGAGCTCCGCAGGTATGTTCGCCTCCCCACCCCCGCCTCCCACGATGCATTGCGTGAAGGTGTACAGGCACAGCACCAGCGCCGGTGGCTCAAACAGTTGTCGCTCAGCACCGAGCAGGAATCCGTGTCATGATTGTGCGTTGGTACTCATTACTCATTACCGCCTCATTTGCATGTCTTTAATTAGTCCATGCAGCGACAGCGTCTCCTGTGCTTCCAGGAATCCGGAATGCAGCGTCCTGCAGAATGTGAAGGAGATGCTAGAGATAGAATTCCCGTCACCTGCCACCCACGAAAAATCTGTACGTTGCAAGTTTTTAAATGTATGTTTTGTCATAGTTGTTTGTAGAACGCATTTGTTACTTGGCAAAAAAAGGTAAAACATTTGTTTAGTTTAGTATGTGATGATATATTTGGTAACTGGTTTGTTTACAGAGATGATTATTATAACTAGGATTAAAAAAAACCTTGGCAACTATAAGGAGCTTTTAATCATGAATTCTCAGCCTTTATCCTCCCAGCTTGTACAGCTGACTGGTGCCTGGCCACCATTAACATTCCAAAGAGAGCAAAGTTTCCGTGACCAGATGTTTACATTTAACCCATCGTCCTCTTAATGGATCGAAGGGGGGGAAGGGAGGCAGAGAAGTGTTGAACGTGACAGTAAAATAGGGTAGATCAGAGGGGAGGTGAAGTTTTACTCTGTACCTGCCCTTGTATATTACTCTATATTCTGTTTCCTCAGCTGTGACTAAGAAGAGAACTGTCAAAAAAATAGAAGATGGCTTTTTTCCCCTTGGTGTATTATTTCATGATGTATTTATACTGGATTTAGTGCATGAAGCTCCTAAGCACAAAAAGTTCTTAACTATTCCGCCCCCTGCAGGTCATACCTAAAATTGCCAATCTTGCGTTTTAATAGGTTAGTAGCTGAACTGTGTTGTGTGGCTTTTCAGAGCTTTAGCATGGAGTGTGGCATCTGTTACTCCCATCGACTACAGTCGGCCATCCCGGACCAGGTGTGCAACGACCCTCGCTGTGGCCAGGCCTTCCACCAGGGGTGCCTGTACGAGGTGAGGGAGCCCTCTGCCAAGCCCGGCCCCTCCCACACCACCAGTAACATCTCACACTTCCTAAAGGGGTCACCTGACCTCCCCACCGTAAAGGACACAGATCTGCAAGGGTTGTAAAATTTCCTTTAATACGCATTCTTTTAAGAACAAGTAATGTATTAAGCCAGCCAGACGTGCAGTCATAAGTTATTCTTAAAGTTTTGTCCCTGAAATAAGTACCAGTCCCAAAGAGTTGTAAAATTGGCAAATGATGTTAATATTTATCTCCATGCCAACTCTATATCCCATCAGTAACAAAAAATTCAAACCCATACCCTACTGGTGTATTTGAACCAAAGCACTAAACCCTACTCCAGTGGTAATGAGAGCTTCCTTCTGCCCCACAGTGGCTGAGAGGCCTGCCATCCAGCCGCCAAAGCTTCAGCATGGTATTTGGAGAGTGCCCCTACTGCAGTAAGGTATGCTCTTTGGCTCCAGACTCCTACTGCCCCTGACTGGCAGGGAACAGTGTGTTTGTTTACTAATGGTGTCAGTCAGGACAGATATACTGAAATCTGTTTTTTTAATTTCAATTTTGACAATCGTGTTCATCTGTTGTAGCCTATTACAGTGAAAATGGCTGTACCAAAGCCCTGAAAACAGACCTATTACCATCAACATCAAAGGGCAAGCAGAGCAAGGAGGACAAGGAAGAGGAGCGTAATGAGGGCACTGTAGAGTTTCAGCGCCCAGCTCGGGCCCCGGTCTCCTGCGGGCTGCTGTAGGACCGGCTCCCCATGCTCCTCCAAATCTTCAGGTTCTTCTGCCCACCTGAGACTCTGGGCGTCTGCTTCTGGTTGCTGTACCCGTTTACGAGGAGGTCTGGCCAGTGCCACCTTAGGTTTCTGCATGACAGAAATGAATGCTTCTGATTTGAATTTCTCACCAATTCTTTTTCAGTTCTAAGCAGAAGTTCTACTTTGTTCTTTCTTTGAAAATATATAAAGTGCACAGCAACAGTGCAGTGCCGGCTTATTTAGGGAGACCTGTCTAACACAATCACCCTACTCCTCCAAGTGGCACATCATGTGGCTGTAACTATATAAATCACACAGACGGGGTCAAAAGGTTCCAGTTACTGTTTGACTTAAACCACAGAATGGGCAGGATGTGAGAACTAAGTGATTGTGAACGTGATGTGATCAGTGCCTGCCGTGGTGGATCCAGCGTCTCAGAAACGGCCACCATGCTGGGATTTTCACATATCGCAGTTGACAGAGAATGGTGCAATAAACAAGGAAAGCGTCCAGTCAGCAGCAATTCAGCGGGTGAGAACGGGTCAGAGGAAGAGGGCCGGGCTCGTTAAAGTAAACACTAAGGCCACAAGTGCAGAAATAACCGTTAAGCAGAACAGTGGTCTACAGAAAGGCTTCTGTGAACTTGTCAGACCTTGAAGTGGATGGACCACAGAGCACATGTCTGTGCTGGGTTCCACTCCTGTCAATGAAGAGCAAGAAGACTACACTAGTCGGCATGTGATCACCAAACTGGACGGAAAAAAATGGCACCTGCTCTGACATGCTGATAGGGTTATTCCTACAAGAAACCTTCCTGTCCACCACATCCCTTTTGGGTTTGAGATCTGAGGACTCTGCAGGCCCCTGGAGTAAACTGATCCTGACTACATTTCTGGAAGCACCTTGAGAGCAACAGAAACTCAGATTCGTCAGAACTGGTGTAATTTTTCCATCTGCTTCAGGGTCTGACAAGTTGTGAGCATGTGACAGATGCCCACTGCTGTTGAAGAGAGTTGCTGTTTTTGACCTGTCTAATGTGTAGTTGAACAGTAAATGAACCCCTTGACATTACTGTACTGTCTGGAGAAGCAGGTTGTTTGTATTAACTTTATCTATCAAGGTGATTCTAGGATTTATGGTGGGGGGCATAAGAGGCCCCATAATTCATACAGAGGGCCAGCCTTGTTAGCCAATGACATGTTTTGAATCGCTGAGTGACAGGGGAAGTGGTAATCTGTGGTCACAACCCTGATCTATGAATGAATGTCACCTGTTCAGTAGGTGTGGCATAGGCCTGTCCTCTCAAAGGACGGGGCCTGGGCTCCATTTCAGGGGTCCTTGGCCGCGGTGCTGCCTTAGCTATCCTGCCACGTGCCAGCACCGGGGAAGATGGCTGGGCTGCGGCGGGGCTTGCAGCTGTTGCTTTCCCATCAGAAGGCGCGATTTTGGATCTGGCAGCTCCTGCACGTCTGGCTGGCGGAGGTCTCTGGGGGGGCTGGAAGGAAAAACTGAGGGGTTCGTCCCATTCCTTTCATTCCCATCCCAGAACCTGATCCTGACGTGTTCTGTGTGATTCTCGTCTCTCAAATTCAGAACCACCTCTAAATGGCACACATGGGGCCAGACCCTCAAACACCAGGCTGAAGTGCTGACACTGATGATCCCTTGTTGTCAATCAACTCTAGTGTCAGTGTTGCACTTCAGAACTCTGGGGAAAGTGTGGGGGGTCCGGTTGGCATTCAAACAGAGGAGATATCCCACGTTTCACATTTGGATCATAATTTCATCACAGCAGTCACAAATGGTGCCACAAAAGCTTCTCTGGCCCAGGAGCAAGTGAGGTAAAGGGAGGAGAGGCTGGCCACTGACCAACCCCAATCTGGAGAGGAGAAAAGCCCTGTGATGGATGGTCCCATTCCGCTCTCCCGACATGGCAACCCGCCAAGGCAAATCTGGCCATGCATCGCTCCCTGGGTCATATACAGGCAAAGTAAACAGCAAGTGCGCTCACACTCTATAAATGCCAGTGTGCGTGTGTGTTAGATGTGGTCCTGAGCTTTGGGATGAGGGGGTACCATTCGAAGTATCCACCCTTTCATGTCAGTCCCACCCCGGCCATCTCAAAGCCACAGCTGGACCTAAAGAGCATTAACAGGACCACTGAAAAAAGAGAAGCGAATGAATTAATGCAGATGGCTGACATTGAAGTCCAGGCAACTTTTAAAACGATCTGCTTTTTCCACTCTACTGTCCTGAGTAACATAGGGGAGACAACAGAAATGTGTTGGAATAATTTTGACAGAACCCTCTTCATTTCCAGTTTGCACATGTGGAGCCCCATAGGATTCTGAAGCTGCTGTAATCAGGGACACTGCACGGCAGTGTCGTCACAGCGACGGACCAGGGGCGCATGCGTGTGCGTGTGTGTGCAGGGCCCCTGATTACGCCGGCACTCACTTAACAAAACTCCCAGAAGCATTCAAGTTGAAGATCTACATTTCTTGGAGGGTTGGAAGGGTGTTAACTGTTGACTTCTTTGGAAACGAGCGGCATCAGGCTTTAGGTGACAACAGACTGGAGAGCTACACGCTGGAATGAAAGTGTAATTGTTTCCGGAGACAGAGGCGAGAGAACCAGAGGATCATGACAGAATTAGACATCCTCAGTGGCAGTTAATTACCCGAGCGTGGGGGGCCCCCCTTCAAAAAGCACCCCTACCTCCGACGCAAGCGATCGCTGGCCCGGGTAGCCCATGTCAACACTACAAGCCCCATGATCCACACTTTCTGCCCCTAATTGAGGACTCCCAAGCCTGGCTGCCAAACCCTTGCTTCCCGGCGACTAATAAGGACATCATGGGGGACCGCCGCTGCAACGAGCCACAATATTATATATGACACTCGTCACATAGTAAACACCCCCCCACACACACCACCTTTAGTTGCGGTCTCATTAACAGTGTGACATTTTTGGAAAACCGAGCTTTTGCGTCATGTTATTTTTATCTTGTGCCCAAAGAAATGCAAAACCCGAATTAGTCTGTTGTGGAAAGAGCCAGTGTCGCGATGGGGAGGGGGGGAGGGGGGGAGGAGCATGGCTTATATATAGTGGCCCCTGTCCGTTTCCTAGCTAATGAACATTAACGGACTGGCCAACATTCATTTGTAAAGGCAGAGGTCACAAACATAAATAAACACCACCTTACTATGCGAATCTCGCACAGAAGATATCCTGAGAGTTGATGACGCTCCCAAAATCATTACCGTACTGTACTTTGCCTTGCCGAATGGCATTTGTTTTTTTTTCTTCCCCTAGTCGTCTAAATTTACATCCCAGAAACAGTACACTGCTGCACTGAGGCATATTTACTTGATAGGAACCCAATTTTCATGCAAATATATTAAAATTCCTTCCTCCATATGCAAATATGCCCAAGCTCCTGACCCAGAAAAGAATTTAATCTGCGTGAGGTAACCGGGGGTTACGTGGGTAACAAAGTAACAAACATCCGGCTTCCCGTGAAACTGCAGGGAGGGAGGGGCGGGTGGGGGCCGCCGCGGCGAGCTGCGAAAGGTAGGCTAATTGTAGCGAAAGCTGCAGGCATTTCCTGACAGCTCTTAAACTTTGCGTCACCGAGACTTTATGGTAACAGCAGGTCAAAGCACTGGGCAGTTCCGCACGGGAATAAATCTATAATGGCGAGCGGGAGTCTTTCGCCTTGGGTGGAATGTGCAGAGGACATCACCGCAAATTGGGACCGCTCAGGCTCCGGTGCAGTTCATCGGTTCGAGTTAAGAGCGATAGCCCCCCCCCATCATTAAGCGCTCAATGCTAATCAATCCAAACACCATGCTAATCTTCTCTCTATCATGCTATAGTAAAGAATGTTGATCCAGCTCCTACTGAACGGTGACAGCAATCGCGGTGACACGTGGTAAGCTCAGACCGAACTGAATGCTCATCTCCTTTTGGGCAAGACCTGGCCAGTCCCCCAAACCATGCTATTCCCTCCTGTGGTTGCTCCCATCGTAAATCTCCCCAAACCACCCGTCGGAGGGGAGTTAGTCGTTTTTCCATCCAGAGAAGGCGAGGGCCTTTCCAGAGACACAGCTGGGGAGAGCCCGGCTGCTGCACGCTGGGCAGGTCCTGCAAGCATGTCATGAAGATACATGGATCCACAGGAAATCATACAAATCACCCGTCAGACCTATGACCCAAATGAAAATCCAAGGATCAAAACGAATGTCCAGGAGAACGAGATCCCAGAGCTGTCTGTAGAATGCACTTTGGGTGGCTCTGAATTTCCTGGCTTGCTAGTGGCTCTAAGGAGAGCACACAGAACAAACAAGTCTGCCATGGCAGCAGTCTGGCCTAAAGCATGCAGTGTGCCGTCTGAGAAACCCTTCTCCAAGCGTCAGTACATGTGCCACACTCAACACTGTACCGCAATGCACACATTAAGCCAAAACCTCCTGTATTCGGTCACATATCCAAAGACAATCATCCAAAGTCAAAAACCGCCAGCACTTTGGCATCTCATCAGGAAAGAATTCAGTAAAGGACTATAAAACCCGCATTCCTTCCCTTATTTCACATTAATTAATTAATGTGTTACTCTTCACTCTTACCACATCTCTCAAGATTTCTGTACATGCAGAAAAGCATGTCCCTAAGTCTGCTCCACTAAGTCTGGATTCACCATAGTTTGTTTATTCTGAGCATAAGAAATGCCATTGTATGGACAGTGTCCATAGTCAATAATACTACTATCATCATTATTATCATATTTACATGAGAGGAAAAAAAACAAATAGCTCCAAGTTGATTGTTGACAGCAAGGTGAACCAAAGTATGTGCTCTGCTCAGCTTCTCCAGCTCTGCTCTATGGCCACAGCCCATCTCCAGAGAAATTAGCTATCGACTGCATTCATCAGCAATGGGGGAGTCCCCCTGGGGAACCTGTGCCCAACATTGATCCCAGCACTGCAACAGCACTGCAAATACGATAACATCGTTTGGGTGGTTTTGGGGCCTGCAGCTACCCAGGAAATTAATTGGGTAGCTTGATTAACTGAAGCTTCAGCTGGATATTTTCTACGACATTATAGCCAGCAAACTGAGAAGTTACATGAGAGGTATTGATATCAAGTCATTTGCAAACAATTTCAATTGCGTACTGCACTTTAAAAACATCTTTTACAAAGTGCTCTGTTTCAGGAAATAGTGATTAACACAGCATAAACTTCTGTTGACACACACTCTGCATTATCTGTTGTTTAAATGTCTTTTGGCATTGTTGGAACCTGCCACATCAATGCTGTGTGTGGTCAAAAGGTTTCTTTGATAACCTTTTGTTACCTTTAACAAACAGGTAGCCAATTCGTTCAGGGGGGAACAAAAGTGGGACTAAGGGAACTCAGTAACCCAAATTAGCTGTCAAACACCCTTTCACACCCTAAAAGTTACCCGGTACAGACCTAAAAATAACAGTGGCTGTTAAGCACAACACTACTCTGAATTTTCCCTCTCTAAAACAAGTAAATTTCCAATCAGAGGAGCATGCATTCCTTCAGAGGCACAGCTAGCTAGGGAAGGTGGACAGCTGAAGACGGGAAAAACAGCAGAAACAGGGCAGAGGCCCACCGTGGACTTGCAGACATCCGCCCGATTTCTGGTGACCCTCCAAAGGAGGAGTGCTAAGATCATCATATCATTACCTATTTGTTTAACAGACATTCTCAGGTATTGGGATCCCCTCAGTTGTGAATTTTGGTTCTTTCACTTCAGAACAATACGAGATCCAGCCAGTTGCCCCCTGTAGGCCACATGGAGTCTCCCCTCCCACCTCAGGAGGAAACATGGCCATGGTGACATGCAGGACTAGAGGATCCAGAAGGACACTGTCCTCTGGCAGACATGTACATGCATCCAAGACTCAAAGCTATCAATCAAGATCCTCTATGTACACTGACAAGAAACGCAGCTACTTAGGACTAGAGTCTCTGGCTAAAAAGGCAATACAGAAATCTTATCTACTCAGACTATTCACGGCAAGTCTACACAGATAACTTCAGTATCTGGCATTTCTATATTAGCATGCCACAGAAGTTGTTTCAGTTATACCTGTGATGGTTTTCCTCTGGAGAGTTAAAAGAACCATGAAAACATCCAACACTAACCACATTTAAAAAAAGACAGATGGGTGGATGATGACACCAACTTTAGTGCAGTGTTGCCCATGACAACACTGCTACCTCTAAAACTACAGATCAAAAGGCACTGGGCAATCCTGGAATTCCAATCACGCATCGTAGAGACACACCCAGATTAATCCAGGGTCCTGTGCCTGTTGCTATACTCCTACAAAATAAACTCTGGGAGAGTGGTGTCACTAAATAAAATTATGTTATGTACAAATAAAGAAGAAACAAAGTTCATCCACCATGATGGTAACAGTAATAATATGTAATAATATGTTCCTGGAACATTAAGATTGGCTTTTCTTTGCCCACAGCCTTCAGTGCTGACAAAGCACCTTGTTCCCCCATATTGACAAGAGTGACTGACAACACCACAGCCATTAGCTGCCCTGCCTACTACTGAAGCCCGAGTATCGCTACGGGCACGGCCAGCCTCCGACTCCTGTCTAAAGCAACACTGAAGGTTTAATTAATAGTAAATGAATACACAATGCAGGTTATGACTTTAACTAATTAGGGAATTGTTGAATTAAGCCTACTAGGGAAAGTGCAGCTGAGAAGATCAATATCCAATGAAAAGAACTGTGTACGTCATTTGCCAGCAAATGGGTTTCCGATATTTTCTGAGGGAGTTCAAAAAAAAAGAGAGAGAAATATATATGTAGCTACGGAGACAGTAAATTTACTTAAAACAGTATAACAAACATTAAAATAGACTGGATCATGACCCTATAGGTCACTTTTCCACTGCGCCAAGTATGGTACTTTTGGTACAGTACTTTCAGTACTTTCCAATGACTTCTGGTCGAGTACCAGTACTAAAATTTCCAGTACCAAAAGTGCCAAACCAGCTGGGGTACTTTGGTACTTAGGGGTGGGACTTTCTTTGTCGATTGGTTATCCAAATAGCCTGTCGCTAACACACAATACAAGCCCCGCCTTGAAAACAGTTGCGAACTTAGAAAATAATGATGAACGAAGTAAAAAAAAATATGCAATTTGGTTGTAAGAACATATATATGGGCTGATATTTGTGCCACTAGAAACTGAATATGAATTTTGTATATTTGAATCTGCAGTTATCCGCATTACAAAGCTGAATCTGAATTTAGTAGTTTGAATCTGAATTCCAGGACCTTGAAATAGCATTTATCCTACCTCGAAAAATTCAGTTCGCAAATTCAATTTCAATCTAGTGTGACACACATCCGGGTCCTTGAGGAAAAGTAATCGACCGCAGATTCACAACGCAACTCATTTCCACGTTTACGACAGTTCTGCAGGTCGGTAAAGAGGAGGCGTGTGCCAGGGTGTCGCAAGCGCAAATGCGGGATCATATACGTAATAAAAATTAAGCTGTACCGGCACTGCTATATCTTAAGCTTTATCGTACCACCACTTCTCACAAGTTGCCAGTACTCTGCTACTCAGAGACAAGCGTCACGCGAGAGTGGCGGGGCACCGAGCGCAGTACCGACAGTGTATCAGCCCATACATATACAGCAAAAAGATTCGGATGGCATGACAAGAAAGTAAAAAGTATTTTGTTGAATATACTAACTATACTAATTTACCAATCAAAGTTGCACTGAAAAGTAAGGCTAGTTTTCTTTATAACTCATAGGTTATTTGAATCTTACTTGCAATTGCAAAGGGTTCCTAAATATATTAGACCATCATACTGCTGTTTGGATACACACATCACCATGTTTAACATTATGTTTCATTTCCAAGTGAAAAAATAAGGTGTTGACCTTACCTACTCCATTGTGAGCATCTATACTTGTGTATTCAGTCGTGCCATTGTGTCTCTTCTTAGGATCTTCTTTATACTCCTTGTGAACACCCTGAGGACAATACCTATATGAGAGCCCATAGTCAGCCAGGTATACCTGCAAGGTGAGAAAGCAGCCATTAAATGTCAACATCCTATAAAAGATATTAAATGATGCATTATATCATGTGAAGTATATTATATGAAGTATGGGATTATATGAAGTAGTGACCTTAACATTGGGTGTTTTGGGTCTTTTTGGGTATACTGCTCTGATATACTAGAGTGGGATCTACTCAACACTTATCACACCTACCTTGTTGGGGTCGTCGTAGTCAAGCAACAGGTTGGCAGCCTTGATGTCACCATGGACATATTCATGTTCATGAATGTACTCCAACACGTGCAACTGGAGAGCCGTGCAGAGAAGGGGTTACTTGGCGTGATACCGTCACGCTACTGTGGCACATGCTGAGGAGGAGGCCACGTCCAGAAGCAAAAGCAGGAAAGGATGGTCCTCTGAAAGCCACGCTAGATGAACATGTCCACCGGGACTTCTCACCATGCGACAGCCCAGCTGCAGGACCGTCTGCCTCTTCAGCTTGCTGCCATTCTGTTGACACGCCTTCTGCAGGTCAGCTCCTAAGCGGTCCACCACCATGAACCTGTAGCTGAGAGGGGAACGAGACAACGGCGATTCAGAATGCTAACCCTGGACAAGAGATTAAACATCATTCACATTGGTCACTCAAGGGCGTGGGTTCGGTTTCAGCTTTGGTAGGGAGTAAATCAGTCCCAAAGGTCCCCCACTCCCCTAACCCCACACACGGTATCCCAACAATATTGGTGAAGACCTGTCCCTGCCCTTGTGCTCACTTCACACAGCTGTTAGTATTGTGGGAAAAAAGCACTGATCTTCTGCAGTGGACTGGCATCCCATCCAGGATGCACACCTGCCATGTGCTGAATACTGTCTGGAACAGGCTCCAGTCCACTCCTACCATCCTTTTCTGGATCAGCAGATAAAAGATGGATAGACGGCCGTTTTTATCTTATTCTTTACCGTGTCCCTTGATATTCAGACAGTCCAGAGCCCCAGTAGTTTGGAATCCCAAGAAAGTTTAATCTTCGCTCCCTCTTCCACTTTCGTACTGTCAGGATGGCAACAGAGAGAAGTTTGACATGTTACAAACTATAAGAGTCTAACCCTAACAATGGTGTCATAGAAATACAACCACGTACTTCCTTGGTACATCAAATAATACTGCCCACAGCCTGTGTTCTCCACAGAAGAAAACTGGAAAACATCCAGTGGACCCAAAGTCTGAGGTCACAGTCCTACAACCACAGAAGCACAGCCTACCAGCTCATCAGCCTTCCAGGTGCCCTGTCCACCTGCATCCACCCCCACCCCAGTAAATGTGGACAGCCATCCTGCTACAGCAGGCCAGGTTGGCTCACCACCAGCTAGACAGGTGGTCAGAGGCTCCCCTGGAACAACCAGCATCATTATTTGCAATTTGGTCACCCTCTAAAAATTAGAGTCAAAACAAGCTGGGATTGCGCTAACGAGCACAGGGGTACATGTTTGCCTTGGCTTATTAATTTGACTAGCAGAGATCATTTTCATCCACTGCCACTTAATCAGCGCGGTGCTGTCCGCCCGCAGCACCGCTAAAAGCAGAGCTACCGCCCTCCTCTGTTTCCCCAATAAGCTGTCCAATTTAGCGTTCATTGGGCCCGCCATCTTTCAGACCAGGAGGCCAAAAGAAAAGCCTGTTATAATGGTTAAGCCTTACTCACCTATGCAGTTAAAAATACCTTTTTGGTGGACACTATTGTGTTTTAATGCTACACTGGCTATTTTATTTTGCATTAACACAAAAGAAGGTTCTGCTCCCCGATAAGAATAAACCCAGAAAACTCAAACTTCTACAGCAGTCCATGCCAGCTGAACTGGCATTATTTAGGGCCTACTAAAACAAACAGATTTATATTACAGAGAATTGCGGATTCGTACCTGGGGGGCTTGGTGCAGTGTGTAGCAGGTTTCTATGGTACAGTAAGGTAATAATACTTACAGCTTTCTTGTTTTGCGGCCCTTTGATAAAATTTCAGTTCTGTGAACAAAGGCCCATTTTCATGAAACTCCTGAAATGAAAATATTTAAACACTGAAATGTCAGATTATGACTAAAAAGGTTTAAATGAAAAATACCTAAAAATACCAAGACAGCCTGCACATATGCTAATCCCTTTGTTCAAATTATGAGTTTCTTGTTTGAATTCTGTATTGAGGAAGATTATAAGATACAGGAGGTGAGCACAGTATTAAAGACAAACACACAAAGGTCTCAGAGATCAGTAGGGAAGGAGCTGGAATCTTCATAATGAATGACCTCATTCCTCCACTCACCACTTTAATCACGAAATTGGCGTCTTCTCGAACGGGAGCATCCTGCTGCGGTGAGGCTGAGAGAAGAAAAACGTAGCATGAGCAAATCAAATAAATGCAGGAAGCTCAGTGTTATGTTTCTGATACGCTACAGACAACAGGTGGTGTGGTGGTTAGGGACACAGACCAACAATGTGATGGCTGCCTTTTTAAAGGCTCACAAAGGGCTCTGCTGTTGTAGCAAAAACCCTTCTGGTAATGTGTCTAAGTCATATAACCCAACGTCACAGCACTGTCGAGCCCCAGAACCAAACTGAATGCTGACTTCATCACAGAGCACCTGGAGGTAAGGTCATCATGTGGCGATGACATATGTTAGGAGAAAGGCAGATGGAGCAGCCCATAGCTCCGCCCCCCTTCCCTCCTCCCTTAATTACCGCCATGTCTGGCAAGTACAGAGCCACCAGCGCCACTCTGGCACCTTGACAAGTGCCACCTACCGGACAGAACGACACCCAACTGAGGAAAAAGGACAAGCGGATCACACGCAACCACATCCAAGTAGTGATGCACTGAACTGAACCGTAGACCCAGACAAAACTGGTTCCCAAAGTTGGTTAGTCCATGCTCAAAGGAATATTCCGGAAATCTCTAGGGGACATCTGTAATACATCCTTTTCAAAAGCATCCTGAAGCCTTTCAGTCCCATTCCAGTTTCCCCGGCACCAGCACATCCTGTCAACTGATCCCAGTGTTTAATAGACCACAGACAATTATGGATGAAGAAATGCTAACAGAATTAGTGTATGAGGAAAACGAAGAGCAGCTTTGGATTTTGCCCGAGCAATATAGGTTTATTAAGATGAAAATGGCTCAGCAGCAGGTGGTAACAAAGTTACTGCCTGTTTTTGGGTCTGATATCTATTAGTCCTGTTAAAACAGATGGAATTTATCTTATTTGCTAAGGTCTGAAATGCTATCCTTAAATTCTGACCCAGTGGGCTGTGATAAAAACCCACAAGAACAATAGGATTACACAAAAAAAAAATCAATATATACTGGTTGCTGGACGCAGCAAAACCACAAACACTACAGTAATGCTGTGTGATTGACTGAGAGAAACACAAGGACTGATTAACACATTGTGATATAATTACCTAAATAAATCAGCCCGAAGCCTCCTTTGCCGATTATCTGGCCCAGTCTCCACTCTTTCTTCTCTGTGTCGGTTAAAATCCAGCCATCTGGCAGTGGTGTCGGCAAGGCCTTCCTTCTTGGTGGCATTTTAAAGCACCTTCGTTGACATGAAAATAATATTACAATGTTGTCACAGTAATATCCAAACAGGTGAAGATACCTGACATGTTACTTCTAAGAGACAAAGAGGATAACATGCAGTGAATATTTTACAGTGTCAATCTTAATAAACTCCCATTCTTATGTGGTCCTTAAATTAAAAATAGACCGATATGTTGAATACATTTACATACTTCTGAAGTACCTTCGCTTAATTTCACCCTGAACTGAGAACCTCCCATTCAAAGTGATGCTGATCACGTGACCGCGCAGATGTTGGCTGCTATCACGTCGAAATACGTTTTTATCTCTCAAATTTAGAAGCTGCCAGTGTTGTTTAGTCCATGAAATGCAGCGGGGTAATATGGCAAGAGGACAACACCTTGACTGGCATTTTCGATTCTTTAACTTCTCATTTTACTGAAACTGAAAGTATCCGAATCGCCTTGCCCAGGAAACTGAAAGGGAACTTTTCTGGTTCTGGCGAACAGGCATCAAGTCTATGACAAATATTCGCAATAATTAGTGTTCAATCGCCAAAACGCTATTAAATTAGAGACATGACTATATTGAGATCTAAACGAAGTTCGCTAACTTATTATAGAGAACCGTGTAGTGAGAAGTGAATTTAACATTAATGCTAGACTACGAATGTGCCGAATTGTAAACGGAGAATACATACAACTCCAGCTAAGCTGGGTAGCTGAAATCTTAAAAGTTTATGTTGTTACTTCTTCGGCGTTCGTAGGTTACCTTCCTTTATCTGAGCCAGTCGCGCCGTTTACAGTGTATGACTCAGACTTTCTTGAAGCTGATTCTTAATGCCAATTAAGTTGTAGTTCATATTAATCCCATGCATGACTGTATGTGAAAGCACATACAAATGTCCATAGAGCCACTTTGAGACGCAATGATTAATAACAACAGCGTTGGTTTCGGTCGTTGGCAGATTTACGGTGTCCGTTATAGGACATCCTTCATTTACGCGTCTTTTAAAAAGACTCGAAGTTCATGATCCTTCTTTCTTTTTCAGTATTTTAAGATAGGTGCGTTCGCGCATGCGTATTAATACATTCTAGTTAGAAAGGTGAGCCAGTTGCTTCATGCTGACATTGTGCAACGAAAGATATTGTTTTCCCCTATAGATCCTTTGGCAGTATTAGCATTTCAAATAAATTAAGTTTTATATTCATATGTTAATGTTATTAAAGATTTACTGTATATCAACAATCAAAAAGTAGCCTACATTTCCCAACCTTGCCTCAGGGGAAAATGAAGAATTTGACAGATGAAGTATTTCTACAATAAATAAATGACAGATTTCTGAGCAAGCATACATCACAAACCCTCTGTTTCACTGATCAAATTATGTATAAATTCTTTGACTACGTGTTAGCTGAACAACATGATTGACTAAAAGTAATCATTTATATTCCAAAGCCATGTTGTACAAACTGATTCACAGTAGGCTTGTGGTCTGAGACAGATTTACAGACCAATCTGGTTTCTGTTTTACTCCCTGTTTTCATCAATAATGGGCTCTCATCCTCCTTAATATGTCATACGAGGCACTCACCCCATGCTGGTGCAATCCATCCACACTTCGTTACTCATTGTGCGTATTGATCATATCGCACCCGCTGATCCAGTTTAGTCAAGCACTTTTTTCCTTCATACTTTGTGTTACAGATTAATATAACTAGCTATCTGGTTTCACAGAAAATTATGACTGTAAGGAAATTATGTCTATAAATAAAATCAATTGATTAAAATATATTTAATATTAAATAAAATAAATAGGACTTTAAAATAAATGTTCGTACTTGTCCAGATGGTCCAACTCTTGTGACGACCCAGCGTGTATATTGGTCCACAGTATACTGTAGGTAAACTTTTAATCAGTTGGGTTTCATCGAGATATTAATTAAATCCATTGCATGAATAAAATCTCATGATGTCACTTATAATCCATCTTGATTTAACTGAGGATTTGCTACTAATTTAATCGCCTTAACCAAACTAAAACAATTTTACGCATGTATTTGTGCTCATACAAACATATTTTATTATACGTCAAAATGTAATACGTGTAAAGTGATAATGAAATCTATAACGGGTAAATCTAAACATATTTTGAAATATATGGGGATATGGGTATTTTTACTATTACAACTATTCTTAACAATTTGGTCTTACACAAATGTAAAATTAGAGCGACTCATCGGCTAACATATCCGGTTTAAGATGTAATTAAAATCTTTCATGTAAAATTTAAGCGATTCATATAATCAACAGCTCAATCAAGTTTGCCTAATTAAGACACCGCTGGACCGAAAGTAAGCCTGTACAGCACGCGTAAATGACTTCGGTTTTAGGAAGTGTGATAGATAGATAGATAGATAGATAGATGAAAGGGATTTGGTTTTGTATACAAAATATATGATCTTTGTTATGACGCGAGCTGGACACGTACTGGACAAGTCACCTACTTGGTTATACGTAAAGCACTTGGTCGTATGGGGCTTTAGAGCCGTTCTGTTACATGAACAAACTGACACCGAAATCAAATGATTTCAATGAATGGTTCAGTAGCAGTCAGTTTAACATGCTTTCTTCACCTACACAGAAACCAACATAAATCTCACCTTGCCCAGAGAACAGTAATGATTAATACTGCCACATACATGACAAGTGAAGTAGATGCGATGGTTTTATGGCTTCATCTGGACTATGATTCTCATGACTATGGGTCGTCAGTAGGTCAGCTGACACGTGTAGAGACACGTCCTCCCGCAATGTCAGTCTGGTCTTTGATTCTATAAAATAGCTTTTAAAGCTTGTGCATCCCAATAAGGAAACCATATTTCAACAGCCCGAACATGGTAGCATGACAGTCCTGGTCTTGTGACCATAAGGTTGCAGGCTGATGTGCGAGAAGGAATACTGATGTCCTGTTCCAGAGTCAAGAACTGAATTTATTCATTAATAATTCTCTGACCCTGCTATGGAAAATGGATAGGTGACTAGATGTTAGACAAATGGATGGATGGATGGAATAAAACATTAAATAATTACCAAAAATACATACATATAATACTGTAAGACACTTTTTTGTTTTGTTGTTGTTCTGATTGGGATGATAAACAGCAGGGCCGTGCAGATACTCTTTAAGGTTCCTGACTGGGGGGAGCTACAAGGAACACAGGAGACAGAAGGAATACAGGACAAAACTGGGCACAGGTAGGTAAACCAGGAAGGCAAGGACCAATACTGGCATACATAAACATATGAAGCATCATTAACATGGGGTTGACATACAGAAACTTGGGGCAACTAATAACCAAAATTGTCCAAAGTTTTGGAGGCTGGCAGGAACTCACAACGGTTAGGGATGCATGGTTCTCAGTCACACACTCAGTCCTTTCATAGAACACAAGGAGCAGAACGGGATGACTATTGACACCCATTGGCCAAACAGGGAACTACAGACACAGAAACTGCTTGAATACGAAGTTGCGCTGCCACGATTAGTCTATGTAGTCGATGACACGCTGAAAATGCGTCGATGTCAATATTTTAAATTGACGTATTGTTTTTAAAATAATTTAAATGAAATTGCCATTATGATGTCTAAATAGCTTCAGTTCATTATAGCAAACGCTTTACTTGTCACTACGCAATTATGGGAATAGATCAAATTATCAGTAAATTGGTGGTTTGTACACTGTGCAAAGTTCGATGGCATATAGGCCTACTACAGGGGTACTAGCGCTCTGCGGTGCCTGGATAGAAAACACACAGGCCCTATTCTGCTAAATACCCTCATGAAAGTCATTAAGTTTTCTGCCTTCTGCCTTAGAATCTCCATTGAATAAGAGTTTACGAAAACGGTTGGGTTAAATTCTACGTGGATTGACGGAGCTGTGTTCGTGCGCTTTGGGCATATTGGGTAACAGGACCAGTGTTATCGTAAACTAAAACTGAAATAAAAACGAACACTAAATAATAGCAAATAATTCGTGAACTGAAATAAAAATGAAAACTATGTTTACAAAAAAAGAAAAACGTGTTGCACTTTAATCAGCAAAAAGTGGCGCCACAGTACCATCTTTTTGCCTTGTTTATCCACAATATCTCCTCCTTTAAAAGATTTTGTGGTTGCTAAGTCTAGGTTCAAAGCTACTTCGGTGCTTATCGTTTCTACGATTTACCAAAACAGTAGCATGGCTAACCGAGTTTAATAAGCATAACCATACGCCGAATTTATACAGATTACTATTGTGTATATAACTTCTGGGCGTCACAATACGTATCTCAATAATAATTTAATAATACTACTAACTTGCTTATCGAATTGTGGGCGAAAATAATGTCCGTATAGTGCCGAAAAGCCGCAATAACATATGGTTTGTTGTTGTCAAAAACAATAAAATGAAACAGTGTATTTGATTTTCGGGAGGAAAATTAATCGTTTAGATTAATCGCGCAATCAGTAAAATAGTCGATAGATGAATCCATGGGAAAATATAGTTGTTAGGGGCAGCCCTAATACAGACGTGGACTGGACTAAGCACACTAGTAAAGACCAGCAACACATGCTGGTCAACAGGGACAGAAGGTAATTTAGGGAAACAAATGACAAGCCAGGACAAAGCTGGGACCATTTCTGACAGAAATGTAGTTAAACAGATCCTAACTTATATTGCTTCAAATACAAAAGGAGGATACATATACATATACATATAATGGATATTTTACAATGCCAATCTTAATAAACTCCCATCCTTCTGTGGTCCTTAAATTAGAACTAGACCAATTTTTGGAATAAATTTATGTAGTTCTGACTCCTAACTCTGGTTAATAAAGCTAGGCTGCTTTAATAAA